ACGAAGACATATTGCAAGACCTTTCAAGGCTATAGCTATAGCTTCTACCCAAATAATTAGACAATTCTAGACTTTTATAGTTCGCCAGATCTAACGAAGACATTGGAAGACCTTTCAAGACTTTTACTCAAGACAATTCTAGACTTTTCAAAGTCAAACGAGATGTAAAAGTCTTGCAAGACTTTTGAAAGACAATTTTACTTCCGCAATTGTCTAGCAAAGGTCTAGAATAGGTCTTGTAGACCTATCAAAGACTTTTTCTAGACCTATTTAGATCTTTCATTTTCCTACGGGAATGATGACAACATGCTCGTAGCAACTTGTTTCGGACAGCCTTTACTTAGTTTGTTACTAGTCTGTTACCGCCATCAACCTTGTAACAAGGTGACAACAACTTGTTCCAGACTTGTCGTAACAACTGGGAACAAGCAGTGTAAACACATCCTGATATCGGCTTGACAACAACCTTCTTGTAACTTGTTTTCAGCTCTGTAACAACTTGCGCGTTTTTACTTGTGTAAACCGTTCATGTTAGTTCCATCATGTAAAAACGCACACGTTGCTACAGGTCTGCAAACAAGTTGTTACAAATATGTTCACAAGCTGTCGACAAGTTGTGTTGTAACAATTTTGGAACAAGCTGTTGACAACTTGTAACAAGCTTGATGGCATTATCAGACTTGTTCCAAGATTGTTCTAACGAGTCTGATACAGTCACGATAAAACAAAAATGTTACAAGGTTGACGACAAAAAGGTTGTAACAACATTGCTATATCATGATTGTATCATGATTGTATTGGAACAACCCTGCAACAAGTCTGATAATGCCACCAAGATTGTTACCAGTTGTCAACAGCTTGTTCCAAACTTGTTGACAACTTGGGACAAGCAGTGCGAACACAACTTGTTGACGGCTTCTTGGCAGACTTGCTACAAGATGTGAGATTTTTGCGTGTGTAGATAATCAGGTGATCTCGGAACTCGGAAAAGGTCTGGCACTAGTTGTAAAACAGAAATCCATTTCTGGTTTAAAATTACTCAATATCTCATTAACGGTATTAAGATTTCAAATTTGTCCCGGATATTCATTTCCCTGTGCAAGACACGGACACAAAGTCCCAAACAGTTTCCCAAAAGAATCAGGGCGTGACAAGTGATTAAAGGCACTAAACTGGATTTCTATTCTGTTGCTAGTCCCAGTCCTTTTGCTCACCGTCAGAAAACCTGGAAAGATATGCTTGTATTTTGTAGATATAAACTATTACCCAACCGTCGTGGGGGTGTATCGGGTTTTGGTATGCCACCTGCAAGCAGGCGAGCTGTGGACGATGGTGGTGCTGGCGGTGGACGTCATGCCTGGGGTGAAGGACGTCGTTTGGATGCCGACAATTAATTTCCCTTATGCCTATATTAATTAAGGTCCATTTCCACTCAAGAAAAATTTCCACGGACAGAAAATTTCTGAAAATGTCATTGTTAAAAGTTGAACATTTTCAACTTCAAAATTTTTTTCCGACGGAAAATTTGTGGTCAGCCAAACACATTTTACAAAATTTTTTCTGCGGAAAATTTTCCTGAGTGGAAATGGGCCACAAGGCTTAAGAACCTGAAGGTTCAGTATGAGTGCAGTTAATACTGTGAAGTTTATACATTGTACATAGTTAAAACGATATGCTCAGCATTTGAGGATGAAAACACTCCCAATCCCAGTCTTAACAAAAACAGTTTTAGAAATGAACTTATATAAAGTGAGAAATTTTAGTCAAAACAGGAAAAGTTGATCAATGTGCGCGGGTTATTAAAACGCGAGAGAGAAAGTTCTACCTATGTCAAGCTCTACCTATGTCAAGTTCTACCTATGTCAAATCTCATCCATCGTACTGTTTGAGTGTTTGGTCAAATAAGATATTTCCATACTTCATAAACAAAACACACTTAAATTCCACATTGGGATAATTATGGCTTTGGATTGCTAAGTTCATCATTAAATATCACTGTTTTCTTCAAATTTCTACCTGAATTTACCCAGCTTTTGACGTCATAATTTTTTGACTAAAAACAGATTTTGCGGTGTATAAACGACCAAATATTGATGATAGAACGGATTCAGAGGACGGATTCAGCTTCTTCTTACGGAAGAGGACGGATTCAGCAACTAAAAACAATGGTATTTTAGGAAGAATTTTTGTCCGTGGAAATTTTTCTTGAGTGAAAATGGGCCTTAACTAAATTAGCATCCCAGTATTTTTGAAGCGTCCGCCACTGGTCAGAATCAACATGCCCACTGCGAATTCGTCTGGGTTTCCAACAGGCAGACGCATGAACATCTTCAGCATGAACTGCGCGTATGTGAATATCACTGTGGACCTGCTGCTGAACTGTCAACGTACTTTGCGTCCTTGGCATTGCATGTGTTTTTTTTTGTCGCGCATCGAAGCGAATCCAATTAATCACGCGAAAATTCTGATGGATTTTGGCAGGTTTCGCGGCGAAGCTTTTAATTCTTGGCCGGTGATAATGTACAACTGACGATTAACAAATTTGATTATGGATTATTTTTCGAAATTAGCGAAAGAAGCCGATATTATTTCCGATCCGATCGCATGTAAACATAAGCTCCTTGAAACAATTCTGAAACAAATGAAGTTGAAACCGGATCTTTTGTTTTTATCTTTTGTCTTCATTGTGCCATTGCAATATTAATTTCTATTATGTTTAGTATTGTATATTTGCATACTGGTATACCATTAGAAACGTGAAGGGGGAGAACAGAAAAAACTCATACAAGCCAAAAGTATTGAAAAAAATACAAACAGGAGGTGGCAGAAAAAACGCATCACAACACAAGAAAAAAACATGGAGACAAAGCCGAACCTTCAAGAAAATTCAAAGAATGGAAGAGAACTTCGAAAAAAATTCCATGCATGGAACAGAACTTCCCCGTCCTCATTTCACTTTCATTTTCAAATAGTCCGCTCCCAAATAGCCAAGTTGAATACCTGAATGCAATATTCGTGTTGTTAAAACGACTTGGCATATTGTTTTGCGCAGTCATGCACTCAAATAACACCAATTAATCCTGTTTGATATATAGCATGCTTTTAATGACCCCTGGGGAGAATTTACTGGCTCCGTGAGATTTTCCGCTAATAGGTGTTGTGTTATGGATTGCGTTTTATATTTTTAGCTGCTTGTTGTGTTTTACGCAAACCCAGACACCCTAGAGGCAGGTTTTCGCACAAACAACGGCCAAAATAAATCATAAATTTTGTGAGTTTATGTTAAAGATTTCATACTGCGCACTTAGAAAAGTAAACATATTTGTCACGCGCACATGAAGTGTACAAGAGGTAAAATATTTGATCACATAACACCACGCAATGTCAAAGTACAAAATCCGATCATAAATGCGCTCAAATGTACTCGTGTCTGGAGCCAGATTAGCATATATTACGCACGAATGGACCACTGAGAAAGCGCGTTGACCGCGACAAAAGACAAAAGTTGCTCGGTTAAAAAAAGCAAAGTTCTTATATTGTCTGATGCTTATCAAGACTTTTCATCGTCAAAATGAAAGCATTTCAGCTCAAAATAAAGCGAAAACTTTGCCAACAGTGTGATGTTTCATGGTCTATATATCTTTTGGTCGTTTTATTTGGTATCGGCTCCTGGGTTGCTGTAAATGGCGTGTGGGTCGAGTTGCCTGTTCTTGTACAACATGCTCCCGAAGCTTGGAAGCTGCCTTCAATTTTCGCCGTGGCCATACAAATCGCGAACATAGGACCGATTTTACACACAGTTTTTAACGCTTTCTTCCCGGGAAAAGTCCGTGATGTACTGGTAATTTATGTTATACTTTCTTTGGGGATTATTGCGTGTGGATTGCTGGGATTTCTATGGAAGGAAACGGGATTTATCGGAGGAAAAGAATACAGCGTTGCTTTAATAGGATTGGTGTTTTTTGTGGCGTTTGTCGATTGTACGTCGAGTGTGACCTTTCTACCGTTCATGGCGGTTTTTAAGAAGGACTATATGTCCGCATTATTCGTTGGTGGTGGTTTAAGCGCTTTACTTCCAAGTTTACTAGCATTAGGACAAGATATACCCGACGGTGGCGACCCTTGTGCCAACTATTCGCAGTCCAATACGACATGGAGTACAAATTCGTCCGACGATTTAAATTTTGGTACAAATGTGTTCTTTTTCGGTTTAATGTTAATGATGGTAGTGTCCTTTCTAGCTTTTGCGGGATTAAACACGTTTTCTTTTGTGAAACGGGAACGCGTTGATTTTAATTTCGGTGGGGAGGATGAAGATACAATCCCTCGAGAAGCTTTGGCGGTCGATTCGAGTCAAGAATTTGAACTTCATAGCCCGAACGGAAATGGCGATTTTATAGACGATGATGGCTCACAAATTGGCAACTGTCAGCGAGTAAATCAGCCATCACGACTAGCATTTTTATTGGTGATACAAATCTGGATTCATGCATTTAGTAATGGTGTGGTACCTTCTATTCAAACATATGCTTGCATACCATATGGCAACCATATTTACTTCCTAACACTGATTTTGTCCAACGTTGCAAACCCCTTAGCAAGTCTACTGTTTTATTGGCTGCCGACAACAAAAACTTTGTTCATTGGCTTGCTGAGTGCCGCCTACACTAGTCTGGTTGCATACATTTTGTGTGTGGCGTCGCTGAGCTCAAATCCACCATTGGTACATAACGGTATTGGAGCTTCAATCATAGTAAGTATAATGGTGTGGTTTTATTGTTTTTGCAAGGCAGAATGGCCAGACAGATGTTCCATCTGGATGAGCTTGGAAAAAGATATAAGATGATTTGTCTGCACATTTTGCACACAAATGTAGGAAACAGACAAATCCCCAATAGTTTGTTCAGATGGTTAAAAAACCAGAGTGAATCTGTCGGACATATGGTGCAACTAACTCATGGCAATGTACCATTTTGCAACTTTATTAATATTTATACAATCTAACATACACAACCTCGCAAGTATGTTGGGTGCTTTAATTAAATTATGACTTCCTGGTCTGCATGAAAGTAAGCTTCAGAAATGAGTCATTCCAGAAAACATCCATACCACCCCCATGGAGGAAATTGGAAGTTACCCCCCCCCCCCCCCCCCCCCCCACTTTGTATGTCAAATAGAAACATTGTATGAACAAAATAATAACATATTGATGAATCCAGTTTCATTTTAAGATCAGAGGTCTCGAGTCATTTGGCCAATTTACACTTGCTTGAGTTGTCTGGAAAAATCATCTTGCATTATACAAATTTTTAAAAGAGCCTTTGCAATAAAATGTATTAATTAACCTTCTTGTTCTTTTTGTAGGTAATCATGAATGTGTTAAGTGTTGCTATAGTTACCTACACAAAGGTTGCAATCTCAACGTGGATGCAAAAACAAGGAGAGCGTCATCTGCGATGGGCAGGAATCGCTTTGCAATCTGGATCATTCCTTGGAGCAATGATTATATTCATCTTTGTGAATGTTCTTAACAGCTTCTCACAATGTTGATCAATGAGAACATGGATAATAAAATAAATGGATAGGAAACTAGCTGACGTGACCTAATGTTTTTACTGTGATTGATGGCATGGTTGGATGCCTCAACCTAGTTGAAAATCAAATTCTCAAAAACGGCATGTTTAGCAATAATACAGCTAAACATTTTAGTCAAAGAGCAAATAAATATAACCACGCCATTCTACGATGATAACTCTAAGTATTCCCAGTCAATTTTAGCAAATATTTCGTTAAAATTTGTGACGCCAATTTCGTAGCTACAAATGTAAAAAAATACAAAACAAAGACGAAAAACATTTACCTTGAATACTTTGTCGTGGATTAGGCACGTTTTTAAAACAATTAGACCAGTTTACGCTTCAAGATCACCCTTTTAAAGTGGAAAATATAGCAAAACAACAAATATGCCGAGAACTTTGGTAACATTCGCAATACGCGTGACGTCACGTTTTTCAACAAGGATGCAGTCAATGACGTCAGAAGTTTCCAATCCATTTATTTTATTATCCATGATGAGAACGAGTTTTGATAGCTAAGAGCCCAGAACAACCTTAAAATGAATTTTGGACAGTGTTCTAACTTTGTGCAGATCAAACTAGTTTGATGAATTAACACCTGGAAAAAGTGTTTAATGTTGTTCAGAGCAATTACAATATTGATCTTTGTGAGGTTTGCACAATGCAAAGGCCACTAATCACTTCAAAAAAATAGTCAAAATGTGGGAATTAAGGAAGTAGGTGTTATTGTAGATCAGTAGACTGGTAATTGTAAATAAAACAATAAGGATAGAAATTAAGAAAGGGTTAAGTGAGGTCCTGGGAATTTTAGAGAACGGATACAGATTATTTATGTTTAAATAGCAGGATTATTGATTGTTAACACCTGGGGAATTTTAGGATTATTGATCCATTTTAATTTGGGGGATATCTTTGTTTAGAGATTATTTTCAAAATTTACTCAGAATTATGGATTATTTGGAAAGTCCCCTAACAGGGCCTCAACATTTGGGAAGGAAGTTAATTGTTTGTAATGAAGAGATGATTGAAGAAGAAGATGCTTGTAAATGATGCTTGTAAAATATGTTCTTTAGACAATCAGGGCTTCATCAACTCTTAATTTAGTTGCCATTATGATGGATTTCTAGTCATTTTGCTGTACAAAATAAATAAATAATTTAATTCATTCAGTGTTCACAAATTCACACGTGTGATGGAAGGGAGGTCAGGAAGTTAATCCATAAGTTGCACAGTACAACTTAGTGAAACCCAGTATCATATATGCTAATTAGGATGAAATGTTCTCGAGGGAATGTGTCCAAACTATTTTTATTCGCCTCCCACTACTAGATCGTACTCCACAAGTTGTCTCCAAAAGCCATCATTTGGTTTAGCAGAGGGTCGTGCTTGTTTAACAAGACGGAAAGCTTTCTGTAAACATAGCTTCTTATTACGCATTAGAAACGCTATTACTACTGTTGAAGATCTTGATATCCCTGCATTGCTGAAAAAAATATGGAGAAGTGTCCTTGAATTAGCAAATTAAGTTACAAATTAAGGCATTCAGGGGTATTAATTAAATCAGAAAAATCCAATGTGGAATTCGGATTTTGCTACTAGGAAAACGTGTGCCATACCGTGACTAGAAACAATTGGCAGACAAGCAAGCGTGTGCATGAATCTTGTGCAAGATCAGGGTGCTTATATATATAAGCATATACTGGGGTACAGGATCTCATGGTACTGTGCAGTGACATAGACTGATGACATATAGAATTAGGGGAATTAGGTATGCGATAAGGTTCTTTTAAAACGTTGCTGAAAATGGAAATTTCATGTCCAGATAATTAGCATAAGTTGCTGGTGTCCTTACCAATGAACAAGCGTGCCTCCATCTGCCAATCCCTTATTTATAAAATTGAACAACTCTGGAAAATGAACAGTTATGTTTTCTTCTGGTAGATCCAGAATTTCCACGGTTTTATATTCAAAATCCTAAAAAAAAACACCCCATGAATACCTGTTTACACTTCCTTAGCCTGGGAGTCTTGCTTTCATAAATCAGAACAAAAGGGTATTTGTTCATAATTCATATTAGAATTAATTTACAAAGCTTCTGGGCCAAAAAGGGATTTGTGGCCTTTCACAATCCCTGATTGGATCCTAGCTATCTAAGATGTGAGAAGTGCCTTTGACCTCGGGCCTGACCTCAGGGCAATATGATTGAATAAGAACCAATTTTCCTAGAGCACCAGAGTTGCCTACTTAAAGGCCCATCTCCACTCAGGAAAATTTCCACAGAAAGAAAATTTTGTAAAATGTGATTGGCAGACACAAATTTTATGTCGGAAAAAAATTTTGATGTTGAAAATTTCCAACTTCAAAGATTTAATATATAGTGAAGTTTGAGCTTGCCTCTGGGAAAGCATTGACCACTCCTGTAGCAACATTTAATATATGAGTAATCTTATGATCTCTCAATCCGTGAAGATTATGAGCTCCATCTTGGGAAGAAATATACAGATTGTCGACAACATGGTGGATTTTATCATCTGGGCTTGTGTCGACACAGAAGCCATGAGCTTGACCAACGCTGACTAGGCCCTCGTCACCTTGTGTCAAATTGTGCTTTAAAAACTGTAAAGTAATTTTGATCAGCGTTGGTGACATTAACCATTCAAGAGCAATGTGACGTCATTACATCTGTGCTGCTGGTACAATACAAGCATGGTTAGTACATTATATAGGTACCCTTTATGCAGTTGTAGCCTGCATGGCAGACCCTCAATTTTACGGGGAGGGGGGGGGGCTAATTTGAAGCGGGGCAGAATGAGGGCCTGCCACGCAAGCTATCACCGTTATAATTTAAAAGCTTTCCATTTCAAGAGCTTTTCAACTCCATCATCCTCCTGTAGCAATACTGGACCACTAGCCTGGACAATCTCATGAATCTCATGAACAAAAAATAGCAGTTGCTATATCCATCAGTTGTATGATTATCAAGCGAACTTCCCAAATTCACCTTTTTACCATCCACATTGGTAATGACAGTAGAAACCTGTTTCAAATCCTGTTTCTTGGCTTGGAGTTTATCAGCAAGACTCATGACTTACTTTCCTCGTAATTCCTCCAATTATATTAGAATTCCTTCTAATAACCTAATTTCCTAGAAATTTCCTTCATTTCAGGAATTTTTCCTTACTGCTGACCTATATATTGTACTGGACATTATCTTCAACTGACCTATATTATAAAACTGGATTTACAGTTACCCAGTGGTATGTCGCAGTAAAGTATGCGCAGGAGCATCTCATCAAAACAAACAAAATGGCGATGTAAACAGAAAAAAATATGATGTCAGATCAAATTATTTTCGCAGTTTCTGGTTTAAACAGAGAATAAAATTTTGAAATAAAATGTTAGATCTGGACGTGGTCCCTGAGCGCTCACTTGGCAACGAGGAATGGGAATTTGTGCTGGGTAAATTGTATTTTCAACTAATTTTGTGTCTGTCAAAAATGTGTCGTTTGACATATTTCTGCGAAGCCAACCCCTCGGCTTGTAAAAGTCGGGTCGAGTGATATATGCAATTCCCCATAACTTAGCGCTGTATCGTTCTGACTCGTTCTGTAGTAAATCCTTTTTATTTCTTATACTGGGAACTGTATTCTTGAATTGAATTTGTCTTAGAATAGAATAGAACGTAAAAACAGGATTTGTTTACTAAAAAAGAACAAGGCAATTCAAATATTGGCCAATTTAATGGGATTTTTGTGTTCAACAACGTACCAATATTGCAATTAAGATATGATATAACTAGCTCTAAATAATGAATTTGAATGTCAAATTTTATCAAAATTTTATGTTGGCTGGTTTCTAGGCATGCCAGTGTCGCAGTGTATACAAATTTTAAAACGACAATGTATGGTTATCAAATCTGTGCAAGTTATTTATAGCGAGGCGGTAAGTTCATAAAATATCAAGCTAAGCAAATATAGTATAAAAAATATAAAACAAAAAAGTATTTAAAACGACAGTGTTTTTTGTGTGTGTGTGTGTGTGTGTGTGTGTGTCAGTGTTGGTGTTTAATGTACTCAGGTGAATATGATGTTTGTGATGTTACTCCGAGTGTGCATCGATCCACACCGGGCAAGCTGAAAAGTTTGCTTGGCCACGGCATAGATTATAGATCATACCAGATGTCTCACTGTGTATCTATCCCTATGATTTTCGTGTCCACGATTTTCGTGAGGCTATTATGCCAGATGACGCGTGCGACACTGCCAAAATGGCGCTTACTGCCAAAATGTGTGATTGCTCACGTTTCATGGCATGGATTACACTTACTGCCAAAATGGCGGCCAACGTGTGCTCATAAAAAATCACAGACACAATTTTTGCTGAGTGAGACATCTGGTACAATCTATTATCTGTGGCCACGGTGGGAATCGAACCTGCGTCCTTTGGTGGGAATTACAGTTAGAATACACTGATATCATAGAATACACTGATATTGAAGGAACTAGATTCAGTTCCGAAATATCATCAACTCAAACTGACTTGACCACATAGCTCAGTTGGCAGAGCATTGGACTAGTATCCCAAAGGTTGCAGGTTCGATTCCCACCATGGCCAAGCAAACTTTTCAGCTTGCCCTGTGTGGATGCACACTCAGAGTAACATCACAAACGAAGTGTTTTTGGTTTGTGTTACATATTCTCCGATCCAAGTTTGTGTTATCGATTTTTTTATCTTCATATTTGGCAAAAACAGGGATGGATCCAGCATGATCTGGTAGGGAGGGTGCTCTGCCAGCTCTGGTGCCAAGTTATGTCGGTGACGTTGTGCCGCCCGCCTATCAGCATACTGTATTTGAATACTAATTGTTGTTCACAGTTCACTTATCATCATGTTATTGATGAAATTACTGTATCTGGCTCTAAATTCAGTTTTAAGGAAATTAGAGTTCCCTAGTGTGAATGAATACTTCTAACCATTATTTTGTACAGAGTAGAAAGACAGAAGAGAACAGAATTTTCAACATTGGTTAATTAAATGTTTAAGTTTTGTCTCTAAATATTAGTAATCCTTAATTTTAAACATGGTTTTCACCATTAATGCACAATCTATAAAAACCATTCATTTTTTCCTGTGAATGCACCCTACCTTGTTATTTTATTCTGTCTAACTGCAGACAATTTTACTTGTCATGGGGAAAGTACTGGTGCTCAATGGGTGAAAGCTTTTTTTAATTTCTCTATGCATGCACATCCCTTGTACATGTACAGTATATACCCATTATGGTACTGTACTAAATATTTCAGAATCCATTGGCAGTGGACCTTATTCTCAACTTGCCCAATGATGGAATACGTTTAAAGTTTGATTCATCAATTCAACGACTTAAGGTAGTCAAAAATATTTCTTTATCATCTTGGGTCTGTACTGTTACTCTTTCATTTTAATATTGACAAAAATGTTTCTCAATCATTACTTTTTTTAAAGATAATTGAAGTATATCAGATGAACAAAGTTAGGTTAAAATATTGGTAAGATTGTGAATTGTAGGAAAATTTATGTGATTATGCTTATGAATGAAATAAGTGAAACTTGCTGTCAATTAGGACTGATGTTTTGTACTATTTTCAGTGGTGTACATTTCAACTCTCCACATATGGAGCCAACAATTGATCAGATTGATCAGTCCTTTGGTGCAACGCATCCCGGAGGTATATTACTCATGTTACCTAATCTTATTTGTTTGGTAATCTGCAGTCAGGGGCATGCAACTTGACTGTACAGATTAGGGGGTGTATGGTCACCAATTAATCTGCCAAGAAATTCGTGAACTTTTCTATCTTTACCTCTGATGACTAATTAACTGCTTTGCCCAACATTCAGCCCAGCACTAGGCAAAATTTGCCCGATATGACTATATGAATATCATACCATTTTTAAACTTTGGGGCGTGTCATACCCCTCCCCCCCTCCCCCCCCCCACCCTCCACAGTTGCACCCCTGTCTGCAGTAAAGGCTATATATGGCTGTATCATATTAAATTAATGGTGATAATTAACAGCTTGTTTCCCCCAAATCTAGTGTATGATTCAAGTCATCAATTGTTTTTTCTGAACTTCAGAGGAGTTTCATTCACTTTTCCAATTGATTCAAAATTTGAGGTAACATTTGATTAAATACAACAAACTCGATTTCAGTTTTGTTTCTCATTCGAAGTTACCTGTGTACCAGACATGTTCATAATAGACCCTTCCGGAAAGTATGTCACTTTGGCTATACAGCCTCGTTTTTGTGATTGAGTGGATTGGATGTAACTAAACTCACATACACAAAAACGAGGCTCTTAGTCAAATGACATACTTTCTTGAAAGGTTGTATTGAAATTTGAAACTTAAATCTTTGCTTTCTAGCCTCATTATGTCCATGGTCTTGGTTCACTTCAGTTTTCTTCTGGGGACTCACCAGTTGTGTCCAGAATGAGTATTTACAATGGCAACAGTTCGTCAGGCAAAACTAAGTATGTTTTGAAGATGATTGGAAACTCGGTTCGCATAGCCAGCCTGACAATTTAGTCCCGCTATGCAAACTCAAAATTATTACCATTATTCATTTCTTTAGAAATTGATTGTTTTCACAGTCAATGAACACGAAAATATTTGCATAGCGGGACTAAATCGTCGGGCTGGCTACGCTACTGCCGATTTACTGGTATATACTAGAAAACTAGTATACTACTAGTGACGAAATCCGGATTTGGAAGATGCATCATCAGTCTCAGTCTTTTAAAGCTTTAGTCAAACGAGGCTGAGAGTTGTCAAGAGTTGATGAGAATTTTCATCAACTCCCATGCTCTCATGCATCAACTCTCGTCAACTTTAAGATGGTTCAAATTTTGATCAGAGTATACCCAACGGGTGTGCATGGTACTATATCCAGCCAGATCTCATCAGCTCTTACGTAACTCTTATTCTCGTTTGCCGCGACCAATGAGAGTTCAGAAAACTCTCATGCAAACTCTCGCTTGCCAACTCTCGTCCTATTTTGATGGGGCTTTTAAAACCACATAACAAAGTATGCATGTTGCCAAATAAACTAGCTGGAATCCGATCCACATGTACTGAAAATCGGTTCTGATTTCTGCTAACTAATGCCTGATTTTCCCCGATAGTTTAACGATGTGTTTATGTATACAAACGGACAACTGAGCTTGAGGTCAAGACAAACTATGTACGCACGTTGCTCTGTGTGGCCCAAACTACGCATGTAATTGATCTTGGTGAATGAATTCTTGAATTGAATTGAATTGAAATGAAACTTCATTTCATAAGGGTAGCACATAACAGTGAATTGACACATTAACAAACCTGTCACCTATGGCCTTTTTCCGTTTGTTTGCAAGTTGGTCCAGACGGATCATCCGTTTCTATAATAAATACATCGTGCATGATTTTGTTTTATTTTTTACATTCTGTATTTTTGAATGAATAGAATATGAAAATCTAAGATCAAGTCGCACAGTCGACAATACCCGTATTTCGTGTTTTTTACCAGGGCACCTCCACTGCCAGTCCAATGTTTTTACGGCAATTGTTACGCAGAATCTGTAAAAGTTTTAAATTCTTCTGGAAAAGTTACTGGACTGCAATTTCAACTCGTTGGTGAAGGTATTATATTGATCAATCTTTTCAATAAAACTTGATGGCTGTTTTGAAAACTTAAGTAGCTATTAAGAATATGCCAACGTATACTTCATCTGTTAAAGTATGTTCTGTGTCCTTTGAAAAGGAAATGAATATGGCAAGCTCCATGAGTTGCGAAAGAAAGTGGTGGAACGCACAGTTTCATTTGGCGATACCTGTCAGGTATGGAACAGTTTGTCATGCCTTTACAGAGAGCTAAGCTTAGTTTAGTTTAATTTCAGATGAGGCAACCTTATAGTGTGGGTTATTTTAAGTGAAACAACTCGGCTGTAGAAGTAGTAAAAATGTGAGCAAAGCCAACTTTTAACGCCTTAAAATTTCGGTCAGAGAACCGTCTAACAAAATGTTCGATGACTTGGAGTTTGAGTCGGACATATATGTATTGTGATGTCCGATGGATGTCCAATGCTTTTGAGTTCAGTTCAGACACAAATTAATATATCATGCAACACAATTTGGAAAAGTCATTTGATCGAATCTTAATGGCAATGCATTTCCGAACCCCAAGGTTACACATTTCCAGTTCACTTTTTATACGTTACTCTGATTCTCCATTTAACATATTCTCCATTTGACACGTCGGACAAAGTTACAGTTAGGTCGGATACCAATTCACTCGAGTCGGACAAACAATAAACCTCAGTTTCACTTAGGTCGGACAGAATATCCGGTGGTTTCCTCTCTACGTCGGACAATTTCACGAATGGGTCGGACAATGTCCAAGACCGACCGATATTTTAAGGTCTGCTTTCAATAATCCTGTTTTAGGACGTGATGAGTTGCTTGGGATCACCATGCAAGGTGTTTTATAAATCCGAGGATAAGGTATGCAACTCTATCCAGTCTTTTTCAAGCAGATACAAAATTTTGCAAGATTTTTACTAGGACATTAAACTTATCCTCGTTTTCAGATGAGAATCCACTCACCATATCCGTATAAACTTGATCAATCGAACAGTTCGGATTATTTTTACAATTATTTTACCCTTGGTTTGGTAAGTGTATTATTAATATACGAAAGATAATGTTTCACTTGAGAATCTACTGCTCTCTTGAGACGTGGTATAACTGTCTAGAATTTGGTTGTTGGACGTTGCTACTTGGAAAATATGGAAAATACTTCTTATGTTTATCTTTTGTCTGTCAGGATATTTTATTCGACGCCACCAGCCACAAAGTGAAGAAGATAATTATGCATACGAACTTTCCAGGGCATTATAATTTCAATATGTAAGTAGCAATACAAACACCCAGGTTCCGAACTCAACGCATTCATGTGAAAAGAGTCGGCCATGCAATAGACCTTTCCCCTTATAACCAAAATTTTGATGTAGGCAAGTCTAGACAAATATTTCATCACAGCTTGAAAGAGCATCACAAAATTAGTAATATTCCAAAGTTTCGTTGTGAAATGTTGTAAAATGTGGAAAATAGAGCCTTGCGAAGTTTGCAATTTTCAGTCATTTTGGGAAAACGGGAAATTGCAGCCCCAACACCCGAATCGGATGTCAATTTCCCGTTTGTAATACAAATTAACAAAAACGGCAAACTTCGCAAGGCTATATTATCCGCATTTTACAAGATTTTGCAACAAAACTTTGGAATATTACTAATTTTGTGATGCTCTTTCAAGCTGTGACAAAATTTTTGTCTAGATCGAAATTTTAGTTATAAGGGGAAAGGTCCATTCTTGGGTTTTCTCTGGGTATTGACAGAGTTGATTGGGATTAACTCTTCTACCGTAAGCTGTGCTCCGTGATCAGACATGAGTCATGAGGTGCAGGCTTCAGAAATATATCATTTAACTTTTCAGACGGGAAAGTGCAACAATTCTCAGGGGAGGTGCAAAAATCTCAAGGGAGGGGCAAAAAGATCTTAGGGAAGCCTGGGGAGGTGCGCACCTCCCCTCAAAATCCGGCCATTCCCCCCTCCCCCCACACACACCTAACTATACAGAGCTCATCGCGTTAGATTTGTTACCAATACCGAATATTTACTTCAATATTTTTTGTATCAGGTATAATCGATGTCAGTTTGTTATCAACATTGAGCGAGGAAGAAAAGGTGGACTAGGTTTGTAAAGTTTCTTCATTCATTCAACCCAATGAACTCCCAGCTATAAAATGTTGCTGAAATTGTTCAATGTTGTTCTTCTAAAGCAGATGGTAAGCAAGAAGACGAACATTTTGAGATCAATCCATCTACAAAGGTGAGATACAAACTTCTAAAGAGGGCGGACTGATTTTAGCGGGGGCGGATGTAGCCTCATCTGCAAGGAGAGGTGCAAGTTTTCCATGGGTGGTGCTTCAATGGTGCATGAGGGAGCCTTATTGATTCTCCTCTGCAATATGCAACGCTTTGCATCATCTTTTGTCTATAAATCACGTGAGCTGGAAGTTCCGTTAATTTCTATTCGAAAAGCAGAAAATGTCTGGTCAAGCAGATTTTTTAGGGCGATGTTGGACCTCTTGTGGGGGCGGGGTGCTAGACACAACTAGGTCGGGTGGGCACCCCCTGTACCCCAACGGTAGATCCGTCCCTAGATTTTAGTAGTTTTTACTGAGTAGCACATATTTGTTTCTCGTCAACAGTGGGATTGCGTGCAGAATTTCTTGGGAAAAACAGTAGAGGCACCAGTCGTTTTGAATAGGTAACGATGAACTTCATATATGATATACACATTTTGTTCAGTGTTTTATTATAAAACTATATTTTGATTTTCTACAGTCAATGTTTTTTTCGTTAGATCGTCGACAACAAATACATCCAATCCGTTTGGTTCGACATTTTGCTACAGCCTTCAGCACATGATATTTGAGGTGAAAACTAAAACCTGGTTTACATTATATATCAAAGTTTCTCTGATCACAGTAGGAATTTTGCATTGGTAAATAGTGGTTCCAGCTATAGACTAAATTTTGAACAGAATCCATCACCACAGCTAGAAAGAGCATGTTAAAATTAGTAAAATTGCCAATTTTGGCCGCGACATGTTGTAAAATGCGGAAAACATAGCCCTGCGAAATTTGCCACGATGACCATACAGAGGCTATCATTTTCCCGTGCGTAATATAAATTAATTAATACAAAATTTACAAATTTCGTAGGCTATATTTTCCTCAATTTACAACATTTCGTAACCAAACTTTGCAATTTTACTAATTTTAGCATGCTCTTTCTAGCGGTGGTGATGGATTTTGTTGTTTCATCGAAATGTTTCATCGAACTGACTCAGTGATCACAAAACCTTTGACAGTGTAAACCAACCAGCCTTAACGCTCATTTACCATAACCAATGCCCAGTTTATACTCGAAACAAATGATCCAGCAGCAGACGAACTGGGTCAAAGGAAAGATACAATCACTTTCAAAAGTTTTTGGGACACATGTAGTTTTAGATTGTAAGTGGATCATTGCAAAGCGAACGCAACTTGTTGACGGCTAGTCGGCAGACTTGCCACAAGATGCGAAATTTTTGAATGTGTACAAGACTATACATGTAAAAACGCACAACTTGTTACAGGTCTGCAAACAAGTTGTTACAAATCTGTTCACAAGCTGTCAACAAGTTGTGTTCGCACTGCTTGTTCCTAGTTGTTGTAACAAGTTTGGAACAAGCTGTAATAAACTTGTAACAAGCTTGATGGCATTATCAGACTTGTTACAAGGTTAATCTGATACAGTCATGATACAACAAAATTGTTACAAGGTTGATGTCTTGATGACACAAGGTTGTAACAATATTGTTATATTATGACTGTATGGGACTTGTTGGAACAACCTTGCAACAAGTCTGATAATATCAACAAGGTTGTTACAAGTTGTTAACAGCTTCTTCCAAACTTGTTGACAACTTGGGACAAGCAGTGTGAACACAATTTGTTGCCAGCTTAAAAATCTCGCATCTTGTAGAAAGTGTGCCAAGAAGCCAAGCTATATCATGATTGTATCAGACTTGTTAGAACAACCTTGTAACAAGTCTGATAATATCAACAAGATTGTTACAAGTTGCATGTTAACAGCTTGTTTCAAACTTGTTGACAACTATGGACAAGCAGTGCGAACACAACTTGTTGTCAGATTAACATTTTTACGCGTGTATACACGCAAAAATCTCACATCTTGTAACAAGTTTGTCAGCAACCGTCAATAAGACAACAAGTTGTCTTCGCACTGCTTGTCTCAAGTTGTCAACAAGTTTGGAACAAGCTGTTAACAATTTGTAACAACCTTGTTGATATTATCAGGCTTGTTACAAGGTTGTTCCAACAAGTTCGATACAGTCATAATATATCAGTATTGTTACAACCTTGTGTCATCAACCTTGTAGCATTCTTGTTTATCGTGACAGGATCAGACTTGTTAGAACAACCTTGTGGCAAGTCTGATAATGCCATCAAGCTTGTTACATGTTGTTAACAGCTTGTTCCAAACTCGTTACAACAACTGGGAACAAGCAGTGCGAAGACTATACAATTACTTTATGGTTTCCGTGTTTGGATGGCCTGATCCAAACACGCGGGAATGTTGCGAGAGTTAAGAAAAGCGAGCGAAATCACGAGCCGAAGGCGAGTGATTTTGCCCGCTTTTCTTAACTCGAGCAACATTCCCAAGTGTTTGGATCAGTCCATCCAAACACGGAAACCATAAAGTAATTGTTTTATAAAATAACAACAACACGATAGTCTTCCGTGTTTGGATGGCCTGATCCAAACACGGCTTTTGACCAATCAGAACACGCGTTATATACATGTTATTTTATAAAACGTGTTGACAGCTTGTGAACATATTTGTAACAACTTGTTTGCAGACTTGTAACAACTTGTGCGTTTTTACGTGTGTAGTTGGTTTTGTGTTTGCAACAAGACGCGTCAGATGGATGATACATTTCGTATTAATCTGGTCATTGATAATTACGATATCTTTAAACATTTTGTAGGTTATGCAGAACAACCATATCGCGTCGGTGACACTGTACCAAGAGAAGCCTTCGTGTCGTACGGACACATTTTAAGATTTGAAATTTCATTTTTATACTGGTATTATTAAATATAGATTTTAGAGAAAGTGGACAGCAGAATTTAATTGTAAATATAATATTTATTTGTCGTAAATGTTGGGCCTTTGTATATAAACAGATATTGGGGAATTAAAAATATAATAGTTTTGAAAACAGTGGGAATATTAATTAAACGCTTTGAAGCAAGAGTTGAAATCTTCCCACGTGCATTGGCATTGGATGCCAAGAGTGGGAAGAGCTCAAAATATCGAAGGTCTTTGGTATTTTTGGTGATATACAGTAAAGTATGAACAACATATAGCCAGATGGATTTGACAAACTCCACTCCCCCAAACTCAATGCTAAATTGGTAAATTGTTCTGGTAAATTTACCAAACTTGTTTATTGAAAGTTGTCAGGAGTTGACACTCACTCTTCGGGCTTCTCCCAATTCCAAGCATTTTGTTCAAATGATCGTCCCCACCGGCTAAAGTTACAAATTTTATATAGAGCAGGAGGGGGACTATCTCAACTAGTCTTTCTCGAATTCTTTTCAAATTATCCCCCGGCATCGTTAAAAATTTTACCAAGACCAGGGGGGTTTCTTTATCCAACCGTGCCAGACAAACATGGCGGAAGAACAAGCTATCAGCGACGAAGCTGCTGGCTATCGTCATTTACTGGACATAAATTGGACCGAAGTTGCCGATAATTTGATAAAAAGTCGACTACTTCTTACAGCTTTAGAGTTACACACAGAACTTCTCGAAAATGGCCGCGAAGTGCCCTTTCTGAGGGATTTCTTTTCGAATCCAGGAAACTTCGAGGTTGAAAGTGTTCGCGCACCCTCCTCGCCTATTTTGTTTCATTTGGGTAAGCGTAAATATTAATGGTTGTGGTTTATTTGTCAAAACTACAATATAGATTTAGTATGGAATTTTAGCTGTTGTTTTGTGCTGTTTTGTACTTTGGTGTTGTACAAAAATGAGTTCAATATTTTGGGTATAAAATGTCATTATGTCATAAAATGTAAATGACCTGTTAATCTTATACTCGTGATGTTATGAAAGGTCAAAAGCCCTTTGATTAAACAGTTGTGAAATTGCAGGTTTTCTAAAGTGTTAGGTAAAAATTAATACATAGATGTACTTATTTGTCCATATTTTGTTTTTGTTATGTTTTGTATATTCAGATGCAGAAATAGTCTAAAAAATGCTTCTTCTTTATTCTTTGTTGCAGTATGTAAATACCCAAGTTTTTATGTAATATTTCAAATTCGACTATGAGGACTGGACTAGATTTCAAGTCCGGGTATTTGATCGAAATGCGAGGACTTGAAATTTAGTCCAGTCCGAATTGGAGAATTTGAAATGACATTTCATACAAATAAATAACTAGTACTTAAAGTGGGTTGAATTAATTTTGACCCAGTCCAAGAACTGAATTTTGATCCAGTCCTGGGACTAGATCAATATGTACTTCACTAGGCCAAATAAAAATAATAGTTGGTTTCAGGTTTCACAGCCATGTTTTATATGGATAGGTAGGTCGGAAAAACATTTTATTTTAAAAATATTTTATCTCAAGTATGCAATAAATATGAGTTGTTTATGCGTAACTGTCACGCGTGATCAAGCGTGCCACGCAGGATATCACCCGCGAGCTACATGTGTTTTGCGAGAAACAAACACAAAACCATTTTAGTCTTTTTTCAGCCGTAGCTGCCATGTCAGAATAATGTACGTTTTATTATTTTATTCTTTGTGTAAAACTATGATTAACATGACTAGATAATGATTAAATTACTGTATAAGCAAACAAAATAATTTGTAGACAAATGAGTCTGATGATTATTTATATATTCTGCATTTACGAAAAGATGATCTTTACTGGGAAATTCAAATGTCAATAAAATGTTTATGGTCGGTCATATTTTTGACAGGTCGGTCGGAAACCTGAAACCAACTATTATTTTTATTTGGCCCTAGGTATCCAATAAAGGGCAAAAGATGCACTTTACAGCATTTTATTCTGGCAAATGCCAGATGATTTTATTCATCCAGGCATGATGTTGCAATTAGGATAGGGACCTGTTTGGAAATTGTGTGCCCAAAATTTTTTTGAAATTTAATTTAATAATAAATATATGGAAATCATGAAAATTGTGTGCTTGATATCTTGGTTGTGTTAATGTGTGATACAAACTTTCCACACTGGGACAGGGGTGATTTAATGTGTTTATATATTATAGTAATTTGTTTTCATCCTGCTTCAGACAGTAAAGAGTAAAATTGACAACACCACGGTCAAACATCTGTGTATATTTACTGCTTGTATTCAAAAGACTGGAAATAGTATTGTCTTCACGAAGCTTTAGCAAAAAGTTTAAAGAAAATTACAAGTTTTTGAACTCAGTATAACTTTATATTGACATGCACAAGAAAAAAGCGATGAAATTTTCTACCTTATAGCTGCAGCCATTTGCTTGTAGTAAATGTTTTTCCTGCATTTACTCCTATTATTTTTACAGACATTTTCCCCACCATTTCCATATTTCCTCCCCCTCTGAATAAAATGATTTTATTGGTGTGCAGTGCAACCTAATGGGTTAATAAGTTATTTCCTATGTTCAGGTCGAACATCAAGCAATTTAACACTAGACAGTATTGATGACTTCACTCGATATTCTGATGATGGTCTGGGTGAGAAAGGAGATGACAGGATTGCAGGTGTAGTACAAGTTTTCAGGGTGCGAATTAACAGCCTACAAACGACAGCAGGGGTAATTTGCAGAATGTGACTTCTGTGCTTTCGCTCAGCTTTTATGGGGTGAGGACCCTAACTCTAACCCGAACACTTTCAGACAGCTTTTACGTATCACCTGACCGCTGAGCGAAAGTACAGAAGTCGCGTTCTGCATTCTGCAAATTATAACCCCGCCCTACAAATGACAAATTGTTTTGCGAAAAAGCAAATTTGTAGGCCAAAAAATTTGTGGCCTACAATTTCATGGAAAAATTTGTAGGTCAGTTTAAACCCTCAGAATCCCCAGATAAATTTCTTTGCAAAACAAAACTAAAGTTGAATACTAGAAAAAATTTGGAAGGTCAAAATGGAAATTTATAGGTCATAAAACATACTAGCATGCCCTTCATTGGTTTTGTTTTTATCATGCTGAGTGACCATATAAATGTGTTGCCATCCAGGGCATTCTGCATTGTCCATATTGTTTAAATATTATTATTAAATCATTATGCATTTCTTATTGAATTTATGATATTTTCAATTGATTCTTTTAGTTTTGCAATTTGAGCTACGGAAAGCCCATGATACAATTAAGTCTTTGAGAGGAAGTCTAACTGTGGCAACAGGTTAGGACTTGTAATTATTGTATGGTAGAGAAAATCAATGGATACATGTATCATTTTATGAGAATGCACCTTTACAGAAAGTACCTCATCTTGGTTATAAAGCCTTGTTTTTGTGTTTGTGACATTAGTTAAAGCCAAGCATTGCAATCATGAGAATGAGGCTTTATAATTAACCTAGGTGGCATACTTTCCAGGAGCGCGTATCACTTAACATGTAAATTGGCTTAGATTAATTGTTGTATCTTGTTAGAATAGGCATATGATAAGGCATGTGATTTGCTTCTCAATGAAATAAAATTGACATTAATTTATTTGCATTTCATAATTGTAATTTTACATATTATAATGTATTTTAAGAGCAAGAGGGTCCACAAAATACTCAGAAAGATGCCAGTGAAACCAGTTCACTTAACGAGGTAAAGAAATGTTTATGTAATTTTTATGTAACCACACCCCCCCCCTTCAGCCTCCAGCATTTTGTCCCCCCCCCCATTATTCAAGTTAGTATGACCTATGATAGTCCCATAAATCTGCACCCCCTCAGAAAAACTAATCCTTTTCCAAGAAAATTGTCCTCAACCCCCTGGTACAACTACCCCTTGGAAAAACTGCTCCCTGGAAAAACTGCTCCCCTGGAAAATGACATCCCCCAAAACGCCCTCCCTGAAAAAATTCACTCCGACAAAAACTACCCCTCCCTTGAGAAAACTGAAACCTCTCCTCCTACCAGAAGAGTGTAGCCCTCAGTTGTTGCATGTTTGAAATATACAGTTGTGACTCCTATTTCAACCATCATGATTTTGTTGTTTTTATGAAATGGGAAAGTTCTTTTGAACATGTTTTGTTTTGCTTTAGGAAACAATTAAACCCCATGAAAAACGTGCATTGAATTTTTTGGTGAATGAATACCTCTTACAAAATGGTTACAGACTCACCTCTGTCACTTTGTCTGATGAAAACGAAGATCAGGTTTGATTTTTTTATTGATAGTCATTTCTTTGTTTTTGTCACAAAGAATTCACAAATAAGCGCTCTCTATTCTACAGTTTTCTCAATTTTGTGTTCTCCAATGATTCAAAACAGTGCTGTCAATAACACTAGTTTTAAGACACTTTTGCATATGTCTTTAACCATGCATTGGGGGGCTGGGCCTTAACCTTACCCTGAGTGATCTAGGGGAGCTCACACTGGGCCCTAATCTTGGTTTTGCCCCCTCCCCCTCCACACACAAACTGCAAAACGTTTAAAATATGAATTGACACAATTTGTTTGTGCTGGGACAACCAATGCAATCTTGCATCGCCTAGTTTGTTTTCATTTTGTGGAATTATTTTTCAGCAACTTTCAATTTTTTTTCAGGATTTTGACGATTGGGATGATGTTGGTTTAAATATTGCTCAACCTCCAAATCTACTTCGACTTTATCGAGATTATGATAAGCATGCCATGCCCATGGCTGCAAGCACATTGGCAAAAACGGAAGAAGAAAATGCAAAGTTGGTAAGGGTATGGCGTAAAAGATTATTTCCTAAAACGTTAATGTGGTGAATCTTCTTGATCAAAATGAAATTCATAACTACAATCCTAGACAAATAACACGCGGACGCTGATTAAAAATGGCTGAAGTTTAAGGCAATCAAATATTTATACGCATATCCAGCCGTATTCCCGCTCCCTGTTACAATGTTGTTGGTACAAATACCGCAATAGTTGCCATAATGACTGAAGTGTTTATCAACATTGTTTCAGGGGGGGGCGACTTATGAAGTATATATGCAAAAAATAATGTATTTGCAATGTTTGTCCGAGTAAATTTGTCTATGATTGCAGCTACAAGATTCAGTAACTAATACGTTTTTACTGCATGTATAGTTGCCGGACACTTCTGGAAGTATTGTTTGGGGGGGGTAGATTGCTCAACCTGAAACTGTTTTTTATGAAAAAATTGAAAATCAAATGTTTAATCTTGCGCGCGAACGGTTGCATGTTAAGTGTGGAACAATTTATGCGTGAAGCGTTCCATTTATGAACGGTTTTAAGAGATGTAGTTTAAAATTGTTTGCTTAACTGCCAACACTAGGAAGAAACCTGCAAGAAACTGAACGAACAACTTGAGCAGCTACGCAAAGAGAATGAAAGAAACGAACAAAATCAGCGAATCATTGAAGAGTGAGATGATACTTATTTTTATTGTATATTATTATACACAGGGTGTGATAATTCAACATTTTTAGTCGTACCTGACTGGTACTCCAATGATTACGTGATCTGGTACAAACTTAACACCTGTATTCTAAAAGCTCTGTCACACTCAAAGGGTGGAGGTTCATTCTGAGCCCCCCTTAAGTGTCAGTGCAGTTTTTGAATAGCTGGAGAATTAGTAGCAGGGATCAATATAACGGTCGGCCACCTGCCATTAGCCGAGCAAAATGCTGATATGGTCGTCTACTAATTGCTCTGCACGGACATTATGGCTGACCGTTTTGTCTCATTAATTTGAATATTTCTCCCTTTATTGTTGCAAATCTTTTTAACAAAATCTGTAATCTTTAACACATGCAAACAAAGATTCCTTCTGCTAGACAATCACAGAATCTGACTTCGTCCCGATCCACACAATAACAATATCATCTCGTCAATTATTAAAACAACCGCGTCTATTAATATATATATATATATATATATATATATATATATATATATATATATATATATATATATATATATATATATATATATATATATATATATATATATATATATATATATATATATTGTTATTGAGTAAGTTGTCGTTGATATTGTGTAATTTTGTTAACCTAAATGCATATGCATATGGTTTTGGCCTTTTGGTAGTTGTTTTTTGGTTTCTAGTACTGTGACAACTGGCAACGTCTCTCTTGAGAATAATTGAGTGTCTGATCATGTCCGACCAAAACATGGGTTGGTCTGACACAATGTCAGACAAAGTTTTCAGAATTATATTGAACTCTGGTTAGTAGTCACATAAGGTGCGACACTAACCCTCCAGCTATTCAAAAACAGCACTGACACTCAAGGGAAGCTCAGATTGAACCTCCACTCTTTGAGTGTGAGTGAGCTTTTAGAATACAGGCGTGGGACTCAAGATGTACAGTACTTAATAGTCTTTAAATTGAAGTACATAAGTACAGGTTTCTGAAAGGTATTCATTCAGTGACCTGAAACTACGAGTTAGAACGGCATGGACGACGATGGCATACACAAACGCTAGAATGAACTTCAACATTCCCTAGTCCCATCAGTCCAATAATTTTTCATGCCAAGACATGTCAGACGTACGCATATACCGACTTTTAAGTACGACTTTTAAACTAAAACTTTTTGACTTTTAATTACAATTACGGTTTTGAATACCTTGCGCTTGGTATTTGGTTGGTAAGGTCATATGGTACCAGCAAAATGTAAGGTGTTACGTGGTTGAAAACAAAGAAGTACCAGACCGTAAAATTGGCGTACCTTCGATACGTAAGTACGCGAATTATCGCGCCTTGATAGAGTATTTCGGCATATTCGACCCTATAGTAAAACCTGTGTGTTTTATTATTGCCAGACAGATGAGCAATTTAACGGATGAAAAATCCAACTTGGTGACACAAATTACTACTCTTACTGATGAACTTGCACAAAGTAAACAACGCTTGTTGACAAACAACTCGGAACAGACAATTATTCCGGCTCCCGAACTCGCAGAGGATTCAAGTAGCAGTTCTCAAACTACAAGCAGTATTCCTGATAATAAAAGCAATGATAGTGGTGTAGGACTGTCTGATTCGCTACAAAATGGTCCTCGATTGTCTGATACGGAAGGAAACTCTGTGGAAGATGAGAGGAATGAAGAGGAAACACCCCAGGTACTCATTGGAGGCTTTGTTAAAAGAATAAGGTCTAACCAGGCACAGACCATTCGAAACATTTTGCAAAGTATTTTTAGTAAGAAGTAATTTCACGTAAAAACGCACAAGTTGTAACAAACCTGCAGTAGACGTGTAGCAATGCTGTTTCAACAACTTGTTAATAAGTTTTTTGTAGGTTTGCATGGCGATAAAATATATAATACTTTTGTTTGTGGAAACACCACGCAAAAGAAAAATATTTATTGCAGTAATAAATTTACGTGGTGTTTCCACAAACAAAAGTATTATAAGGTCCACTCCAGACGCGATTCGACAACGCGACGCGATTTTTCGATTTTCAGTGACCGATAACTTTGATCCAAGTTATTTAGATTTAGATAAGATTTATTAAAAAGACCAATTTAGCAGTCAAGGACTGAATTACATCGGTTTACAAGATTAAAAGGATAAAATACAAAATACAATTAGATTAAGAATTATTATAGTAATCTTAAACTTTCCAAATATTTAGAAGCGCTATAACATTTTGAGTTATTTGGTCCACATATCTTTCAAAATTTGCTCTCATTGGCTGTTTTATTAACTTTCAAAAACTAAAGAATCACGTCCCGTTATCGAATCGCGTGTATCTGAAGAGGATGTATCTCGACGAAGGGCCTTCACTCGAAACGTTGACGAGTGACTATTATTTTGTATATAGCCTCTTTGAATTTAGTCTGTTTAACCTTTCCATGGAAAGGAGACATTTGCATGCCTCTTATTGGACTGAAAAGCTAAAAACTGGTGTTTATTAATTCATGATTTTCTTTTCAAGGTCTCAATAAGTGACACTGACACCTCAGCGCCAATTTCAAAGACTGAAAATGACCATCTGTGCCAAAGGTGACAACTTATTTTTGCTAAACTAGCAACGAACTGCTTTCACGGAACTAATTTTCTTTTTCTCTCTCTCTGCGGTAGAAAACTATGTCCAACATTCAAGCAAGCGTTACTCAACATTGCGCAAGTTCAACACGACAGTAGAGTTAGCAATGAGGTAAAATTATATGGTACAGTTATTTATACATGCCTGTAGATTTTATTATGTGGAGGTATAGCCAAGGTCCCTTGTAATGAGCCAAAAAATGAAATACAGTGCCCAAAAATGAAATACAGTGCCAAAAAATGAAATACAGTGCCAAAAAATGAAATACAGTGCCAAAAAATGAAATACGGTGCCAAAAAATGAAATACAGTGCCAAAAAATGAAATACAGTGCAAAAAAATGAAATACAGTGCAAAAAAATGAAATACAGTGCAAATTTCATTGACTATAAGATACGGCCATTTCTAGCAGAAAATAATATAAAACCCAAACATTTACAAGTGACAAAAATGGCTGGCGTTTTTAGTAGGTGAAAGTTTTCAAAAATAGGTAAAAGGGGGCACGCAGAATATGAACTTTTGCATTCTGATTTTTCAACTTCAGGTGGCAAGATTAGCGAAAACTGAAGAAAGTGCTGTGTTGGTGTTGTCACGATGTCTGCCTCATATTGTACCAAACGTCTTGCTCAACAAGCGCGAAGTAAGTGGTGAATCAGTAGACCATTTTACCAAATTTTCTGTATTTTCAGTTTTCTCTGGGAACAAGGTGTCGTTACTCGGCCTTGGCAAAAACCATAAGGTGGTGGTGAATGCCTCTCGTAATCGCACTGGCTAGGAACATGGCGAGTGCATTACGGTTTTTTTTGCTGAGTCGGTCTTCTGTAAGGTCTTTATTCTATGGCAGAATGGTCTATGTTGTCCATATTATCGACATCGTGGTCGATTATTATAATAAATCACGAAAATGATAAGTGGAAATAATGCATTGCCATCCAAGTTCTAATGAATTCAATCTTACGTGAATTGATTTTTCTTTTAAATATGTACACCATCATTTACATTCTTGTACTGTACTATCTGTCATCTTTTAGGAATTGTTGCCGCTGATCCTATGTACTGCTATACATCATCCTGAAGAGAAGGAAAGAGACAAGCTTTTACATTCTTTGGTCAACCTTATAAAACGACCTGACGCCGAACAAAGGTAACGAACTAACAGCAAATCTACTAGACTTAAGCTACACTCGTTATCAAAATAGAAGTTTATACAAGGACCGCAGGTTAGATTCCTACCAGAGAGCCTACACGGCAAAAAACGCCGAGCCCGCTGCTCAACAGGATTGAACAGTGTGTTCTTGTTCACACTTGTCAACAATATTGAACAATATTGTTGAGCCTGAATCCAGGTGTAACAACATTGTTCAATATTGTTATTGTTGACAGCTATGAACAATGTGGGCAGCAAAACATTGTTCAATCCTGTTTTCATCAGTATTGCATCAACCTGAGCGTTTTTTCGCGTGTATAGTTAAGGGCCTGGTTCAGCTGGTTTTTCATTAAGCCGGTTTTCCACTAGCGAATTTTCTCGCGCGAAGCGACCTTTTTCCTTTGTCGGTATCACTTATTACGACAGCAAGACGTGGCAAAATGGATGCTGACAAAGGAAAAAGGTCGCTTCGCGCGAAAAAATTCGCCAGTGGTGAACCGGCTTTGGGAATTTTGCGCGCGGAGCGGAATTTTGAAATTGACAGCCTCGAAGGGTTTGGGGCTGTCAATTTCCCGTTTGTAATCTAAAATGACTGAAAATTGCAAATTTCGCAAGGCTATATTTTCCGCATTTTACAACATTTTGCAACGAAACTTTGGAATATTACTAATTTTGTGATGCTCCTTCAAGCTGTGATGAAATTTTTGTCTAGACTTGTTTAGTTCAAAATTTAGTCTATTACGCAAATGGTCAATTAGACAAAGAAAAATTCCGCTCCGTATGCAGAATTCCGCCTTGTCGAAAACCGGCTTTAGGTCTACATCTATGTAAATCTTCCGATGCTTGTATTAATCGATGCAAGTTTCATATTATTCTGACACTGCAATCGACCAACGAAAAATTCGTTCGCTCGAGCGGGATTTGAACTCGCATCTTCGGGTATCTAGACCGCCGCTCTACCCATTGAGCTGTCGAGTCAACGGGGATTGGTAGCGAGTCTTATCCAATTTAAGTGCACGAAATATTTTCGTGACGACTTAACGCTTGTCTTAGAGGACGCGCAGCGTTTCAATTCTATTTCAGAACCAACCTCAGAGATACGAAAAACCAGTTTCATATTATTCTAGAATAATATGAAACTGGTTTTTCGTATCTCTGAGGATGGTTCAGAAATTCATGCAAGATTTAAGTATTAAAACATTCATAGTAATTCTTCATTTATTTCTTGTTTTTATTTTATAGACGAATGATCATCACTGGCTGTTCAGCGTTTGCGCACGTTGTTGGACACATGCGCACTGAAGCGGAGTTACTTCCCCAGCTTTGGGAACAGGTACAATCAACGTCAAATATATGAGCCCTATATACTTATTTTTATTAGGGAAAGTGTAACAGGATTAAACAACACGTCATGTTTGTTTTTTTGTGCTTTCAGATAAATCACAAGTACCCAGAGAGAAGGCAACTTGTGGCTGAAGCTTGTGGAACACTTGCGCAGTACCTACCTGTAAGTCATAATTTAGTTTTTCCTTCACGTGTCAATAACCCACATAGAGATGGATTCATGATACACCACATCTTGTAGCAAGTCTGCCAACAAGCCGTCAACAAGTTGTGTTCGCACTGACTGCTTGTCCCAAGTTGTCGACAAGTTTGGAACAAGTTGTTAACAATTTCTAACAACCTTGTTGTATTATCAGGCTTGTTACAAGGTTGTTCCAACAAGTCCGATACAGTCATGATATAGCAGTATTCTTACAACCTTGTATCGTCAACTTTGTAACATTCTTGTTTATCATGACCGTATCAGACTTGTTACAAAAACCTTGCGACAAGACTGATGATGCAATCAAGATTGTTGCAAGTTGTGAAGAGCTTGTTCCAAACTTGTTACAACAACTGGGAGCAAGCAGTGCGAAGACAACTTGTCAACAGCTTGTGAACAGATTTGTAACAACTTGTTTGCAGACTTGTAACAACTTGTGCGTTTTTCCGTGTGTATTCTGCAAGAAAAGGGCAGAGATTTTCCCAGTGCGACTTTTCTGAGAAGCAGCACTCCCCAGCACTCCCAGTAAAGTGAGTAAGCCCAATGAGAGTACTTGCGACAATGCTGTTCCCAACAACTTGTCAACAAGATGTCTCCTCAACAGGCTTGTAGCAAGCTTGTTAACAAGTTGTGACAATGCTGTTCCCAGTGCTGTGAGTAACTTCGTTACAAGTAACTAGTTACATGTAATCGTTACTTTTTTGAGTAACTGTAACGGTAACTAGTTACTTTTCTGATGATGTAACTGTAACTGTAACTAGTTACAAAAAATAAGTAACTATTACAGCACTGGCTGTTCCACTGAACAACTTGTCAACAAGATGTCTCCTCAACAGGCTTGTAGCAAGCTTGTTAACAAGTTTTGACATTGCTGTTCCAACAACTTGTGAAAAAGATGTCTCCTCAACAGGCTTGTAGCAAGCTTGGTAACAAGTTGTGACATTGCTGTTCCAACAACTTGTCTACAAGATATCTCCTCTACAGGCTTGTAGCAAGCTTGTTAACAAGTTGTGACAATGCTGTTCCACTGAACAACTTGTCAACAAGATGTCTCCTCAACAGGCTTGTAGCAAGCATGTTAACAAGTTGTGATATAATGCTGTTCCAACAACTTGTCAACAAGATGTCTCCTCAACAGACTTGTAGCAAGCTTGTTAACACGTTGTGACAATGCTGTTCCAACAACTTGTGAACAAGATGTCTCCTCAACAGGCTTGTAGCAAGCTTGTTAACAAGTTGTGACAATGCTGTTCCAACAACTTGTGAACAAGATGTCTCCTCAACAGGCTTGTAGCAAGCTTGTGGACAAGTTGTGACAATGCTGTTCCAACAACTTGTCTACAAGATATCTCCTCTGCAGGCTTGTAGCAAGCTTGTTAACAAGTTGTGACAATGCTGTTCCACTAAACAACTTGTCAACAAGATGTCTCCTCAACAGGCTTGTAGCAAGCTTGTTAACACGTTGTGACAGTGCTGTTCCAACAACTTGTCGACAAGATGTCTCATCAGGCTTGCAGCAAGCTTGTTAGCAAGCTGTGACAATTCTGTTCCACTGAACAACTTGTCAACAAGATGTCTCCTCAACAGGCTTGTAGCAAGCTTGTTAACACGTTGTGACAATGCTATTCCAACAACTTGTCGACAAGATGTCTCATCAGGCTTGTAGCAAGCTTGTGAACAAGTTGTGGCAATGTTGTTCCAACAACTTGTCAACAAGATATGTTTGTAGCAGGTTTGTAGCCAGCTTGTTTACAGGTTGTGACAATGCTGTTCCAACAATTTGTCAACAAGGTGTGTTTGCAATAGGTTTGTGGCAAGCTTGTTAACAAGTTGTGACAATGCTGTTCCAACAACTTGTCAACAAGATGTCTCCTCAACAGGTTTGTAACAAGCTTCTTAACAAGTTGTGACAATCTGTTCCAACAACTTGTCAACAAGATTTTTCGCAACAGGTTTGTAGCAAGCTTGTTATTAATAGAATGCTATTCGTTTTGTTTGCATTTCAGACGGAGATTGTGAGTTCTCTACTGCTCTCCATGCTCAAGCAAATGTTTGCTGAAGATCGCAACGACAGTGTTCGAGCTACGGTCATTAAGAGCCTGGCACTAGTTATGACGATAGTCGAATCACCTTCAAAATACAAGGAGGTATATGCACTATGTGTGCTGTTTAATATTTTACTTTGCAGAAGATTCGCCTTGTGATTACCAGACAACAGATTGCTTATATTCGAAGCATTTTGACAACATCATGTCACAAAGCCTTGACAAGATACTTACCACTGAGCTTTATACAATAACTGGAGGACGTGCTCCCATCTTTCATCAGTTAAAAAGGGTCATATTTTCATGTCACGCAGTTACGAAATGTAGTCAGGGCCGCAGAGAGGGGGGGGGCAAATTGCCCCGGGCCCCGAGGTGCTGGGGGCCCCTGAAAATTTTTTGTTGGGCCCCAGTCTTTTTTGTGTGTTAAATATTTCCGCGGAAAGGACAAGATATCTGTTTTCTTGGGCTAAGTACCGAAATGTGAGATAAAGTCGCTGTTGAGATAAAGTCGCTGTAAAGCAATTGGAACGTACTCGTCCGGAAAAATTTTTTACTCCGGAAAAAAATTTTTTACCCCTAAAATGGTACACTGACCGAAAATTTTTTGGCGACGGCGGGGGGGGGGGAGGTTGTTTTCCGGAAAAAATATTTTAGATAGGGGGCCCCGAAAAAAAATTTGCCCCGGGCCCCCGCCAACCTCTCGGCGGCCCTGAATGTAGTAGTCACGTAATCAATTCGTGATCATGTAATCATGAATGTTTCAGGTTTACTAAAACAAAGTACGGCCTCTTCTTAAAGCCCTTCGCCCAAAGCGTTTTATTTGATATTTCTCTTGACGTAACCCAACACTCGAACTTGTTTCTGACTTGCTGTTTTTACCACAGCCGACATCGAAAGCCTAAATTGAACGATTTTTAACAGCCTGTATTGTTGTTTATAAGGCTGAGCAGCTGCTGGTGCAAGCATTATGTGATAACTCAGAAGAGGTCAGAGAAGCCACACTCAATGTCTTACTGCCAGCGGTCTTGGCTTGGGCACATGAACTGGATAAATTACAGTCTGATTTATTGGAATTTATTTTACAGCAGTTGGAACTGACTTTATCGGTGAGTTGGGTACAGAGTGCCTCTTTATGTAGTGTTAATGCAAAGGCCTATCTATAAAGCCTGGAAGTTCAGATCAGTGGTTCACACAACCGGGCACCAGATCGCGAATTGCGACCAAATTATCATCATGATGCAGGCGACCAGATATTTGCCAAAAGTAACTAAAGTAATTCATATAGTAAAGAAATAAAAAATTATAATTCAAAAGTAAATAAAATAATAAATTAAAAGTAAAATAATAATATATTAAAGTAATTCTGAAGCCCTAAAATATCTCAGTGACCAAGCATTATTATTATTATTATTATTATTATTATTATTATTATTATTATTATTATTATTATTATTATTATTATTATTATTATTATTATTAATAAAGCTCGGATCAGACAACGCTCTGTTGTCATCACCCTACTTGATCTTAAGAATGCCTTCGGCGAAATCCATCACAACCTCATTCAATCCGTACTTGACTACCACCATATCCCTGATCATATAAAATTTGTTATAAAAAGTTTATATACTGATTTCCAAACCTCGATAATTACCTCTGAATTCCGCACTCCTTTTATGACAGTTGGCCGTGGCGTATTGCAAGGAGATTGCCTCAGTTCTCTTCTTTTTAACATGTGCTTCAATACATTCATTCAGCATATCAAGGCTGAAAAGTACCGTCAATTTGGGTTTTCCTTCAAATTACTAAATCCCATCCATTGGTTCCAGTTTGCTGATGACGCGGCTGTAATTACTGGCCAAGAATCCGAAAACCAACATCTATTAAATCGATTTTCTATCTGGTGCCAATGGTCCGATATGATTATCCGAGTTGACAAATGCAGTACCTTTGGCATTAAAAAAGCGATCACAAAATCAGTTCAGTGCTTGCCAAAACTCCTCATCAGCAATCAACTAATACCAAAAATCACCATTGGAGAATCATTTCAATATTTAGGACGTTACTTTGATTTCCACATGTCGAATGATAATCACAAAACTGAACTAACCACCCTACTGAATGAACTAATGTCTGATATTGACTCAAAGCCACTACACCCCAAAAATAAACTGCTCCTCTACAGTCGCTACGTCTTGTCCAAGTTAGCCTGGCACTTCACCGTCGCAACACTCTCTAAAACATGGGTACTGAAAATATCGACTCTATTGCCAACAAATATATCCGCAGATGGCTTGAAGTACCAATATCAGGAACACTAAGTACTGTCTTTCTAACAAATAACAAATTTGGCCTGAGTATTTATCCTCCATCTGTAAAATTTATCCAGTGTCAAACAGTCCTCCGAAAAGTTTTAAAATATTCTCCTAATGAATCAACTAACGACCTGTGGAGAGCAACCAGTAACCATACTAATATCCAATATGACGCTTATAACTCTACTAAGGAAGTTCTCAAAGATTTCCGTTCTGGACACGAAAACAAACTCCTAAACCAATTAACCAGTCAAGGATCCTTTTTCTGCAGCGTCACGAAGTTCGCTTTACCTCAGCTTAGTAAGGTGTGGTCCGTCGCCCAATCAAAGCTCCCGACAAACATTTACAACTTTACCATTCGTTACATTAACAACTCTCTTCCGACGCGCAAAAACCTAAACAGATGGGCAATATCTTCAAATTCAAACTGTTCTTTTTGTCTTAGCCCTGAAACATTACTACGCATAGTAGCTGGATGTCAGTTTTATCTCGACCGATTTACGTGGAGACACAATTCAGTCCTGAACTTTCTTGCTCATCAGTTACAAACTGTTGACGGTTCTACTCTCTACGCTGATCTAAATGGATTCAAAAGCCCTTCAATACTTACTGGTGATACGTATCGCCCAGATTTGTTATTATCGTGCTCAAATGGTTCCTTATATGTTGTTGAACTCACCACTGGTTATGAGACAAACCTCAAAAACAACGTAAAACGGAAGAAGGATAAATATAGAGAATTATTGAGACAGCTAGGTAAAAATTTTAACCAAGTTAAATTTATAAATCTCTCCATCAGCTCTTTAGGTATTTTTGCAGAAGAATGTTATACATTTTTAGACATGTTAGATAGTATTGGTCTTGACAAAAACCACCAAATGTACTGTGTTAGGAAAATGATGACTATTGCTATTAGAACTACATATTACATTTTCTGTTGCCGAAATAAGGAATGGGAAAATCCGGATTTACTAACAATTTGACTTATCTCATTGTATATATATATATATATATATATTGCATGCACTTTGTTCTGTTATTTTAGTTTAGTATAATTGTGATTCAAATAGCCAACCGTAAGTTACCTTTATGAGAGAGATTTACGATTGTATATGTATGTAAAGAAAAACATTTAATAAAGTTTCCATTATTATTATTATTATTATTATTATTATTATTATCTAATCAATGAGCAGGAAGCAGATTATGATAAAGTCAAGTTCGTCAATTTATCCTTGAGTACCCTCGGAGTTTTTGGCCGATCTTGTGAAAATTTCGATGGCATGCTAAGTAGCCTTAAATGTGATGCTAAGTATAGTAAATACATAAAAAAGCAAATCGTGAACATATGCATACGAACATCATATTATGTATTTTGTAAACGAAACAAGGTGTGGGATAACCCAAAATTAATGTTAATATAATCCTTCTTAAAATAATTATTGTACAATAAATATATAGTATCGATTCAAGTAGACATTGATAAACTACCTGTAAAGCGAGGTTTATCATTGTAGTTATATATATCCTAATAATCAATAAATAAAGCTTCCATTATTATTATTATAACTTAATCTTGCTTTGACTATATATATATATATATATATATATATATATATATATATATATATATATATATATATATATATATATATATATATATATATATATATATATATATAATTTTTTTTTTGTATGTATGGGCGAAAACTTTAAAAATAAAAAATAAATAAATAAAATAAATAATAATAATAGGGCGGTAAACGGGAAGGATATATCCGCATAGTCATACAGTAGTCCCCCGCTAACTCGAACTCGCTTAACTCGAACTCCTCGCTAACTCGAACTAAATCCAATTCCCCTTGGATCTGACACTGTTTTTTATAGTAATTTACTCCGCTTAACTCGAACTCGCTTAACTCGAACTCCTCGCTAATTCGAACAAATTTTGTTTTCCCTTGGTCAAATTTATCCCGTTAACTCGAACTTTGTTTTCGAGTCGTGGATCGGCAAACCTTAAAATGTCAGAACATAGCATTTTCATAACCGGTAACTTGGATTTTTATTCAAATGACGACAATTTATTCGGTGTATATATGATCATAAATTTTAAAAGATTATACACATAGTTGCGACGATTGTTATTGATCTAGTTTTTTAGTTCCTTTTGTAAAATCTCTACATGTTTTTCCTAAGAACTTTAGTTTGCATGGAACTTGCATGCCTTCTCCATCACCCAAGTTAAAAAGATACTGACTAAAGAACATTAGTTATAGGGATGCACAATTAAACTTTTTGTAATTTGATGAACATAAGAAAACTTTTATACCTTATTAATTATTAACATAATAAACGTAATCTGACACCAACTCCGGTTAATTCGAACACCCGCTAACTCGAACAAATTTTTCGTTCCCCTTGGGAGTTCGAGTTAGCGGGATTCTACTGTATTTTAATCAAAATGAGTTTGCCCCAAGAGCGTACACCCTTATCTAGAGGGCTTGCCCTTTTAACCCCAGCCAAGTGTACCAACCTCTTCGTTTTATGTCTAAGTTTTCCCTCCTATTTTCATTCAGGACTTTATTCATATTGAAAAGTCGAAAGCAGACGACGAAACTGAACTGGAGTCAACAATGACCATTATTAGTTCCAGACTTCTTCTCTATGTTCGCGCGCTGACGAACTCCGTAGCAGCTTTGATGGCCGACGTTCTTAACAGAGGTGCAGTAGAATCTATAATCTCAGAGGCGAAAGCCCCGCCTAGCTCTGACGACTTCGCCAACGATGCCCAAATTTGGTTTAGAAAATATTATGGGACTTTTTGTTTACGGCGACGTGTCACGTTTTATCTTCTTCTAGCTCCATTTCAAGAAGAATGCGATGCTTTAGAACGAGAAACTACACTGTCAGGTAGCCGACCCTCTTTATTTCTAACGACCCTTGTTTTTTCGATGTGATTGGGTTGTTTACTTACTTACCTACCTACCTACCCTATATGTTTTTTCTTTGCTCGCTTAACGTGTTAACGTGACACCAAAATGGCGTCTGTTGCCCACAGGTATTGCTTCTTGAAAGGTATTGCTTCTTAACTCTGTGGCAACATATTTCCCTGTCTTTTCCAGAGGATCGTGTTGATCATTCAGATTCTCCGCTGACAGATATGACAGTATTGTTTGGAGGCGCAGGTCGCCTGGCAAATTTTCTGGAATATTTTGACAAATGGCTGGAAAAAGAGGAAACACAAACGTTTTGGGAATCATTGGCTTGGGTTAGGAACAAATTGTAAGTTGAAAAGTGTTGCACATTTTTGCATATAGTTAGATGCATCTTGCATCTGACATGTCTAGGGTGCGGTGTGTCTGAATGCGAACCCCTTGAAATCTATGAAGCTCCTCCAGCAAACGTTAGCATTACCCAGTCGTGATCCTCAACAACGCCCCCTCCCTCCACTTTGAAAAATCTGCATCTTGTGGAAAATCATATCCCCCATACAAAGTATACCCTTGCAAGTTTAGTTTAGATCTGCTCATGGTGTAATCCGTGGTTTATTTATCTCTTT